TCTCTCTCTGTTAGTTACCCCTTAGTAATGTTGTGCTTCTCTCCCTTCCTCCCTTAGTAGATTTGGACCCCATGGTTAGGTCCACCCATTACTTCCCCTGGTCTACTATCCCTCCTGCCTGGGGGTCTCCAAAAGGGTTCAGCTTCCTTTTTTTGCTGCCATTTCTTTGGAATATCCCATCAGAACCCTCCAAGGTGGCCCTTGAGAAAAAACACTCTCCACTTCATCATCATCCTCCTAAACTTTCTTCCCTTTCAGATCAGCCCTCAGAATAGCCGACTTGATATGCCTTGGAAGCGAAATGCATCCATCTTCTTGGCTGCCATTTACCTTGCTCTGATACCAAAGTGATATGCCTTGAAAACCAAATCAACAAGAAATCAGAATAAAAATTACAATGAATTGAGAAACAGTGGCTGATTTTTTAGATTAATACTTCAAAACAAAAATAAGATACAATGATCTACAATTAGAGAGATAGACAGATTGATTCTCATAAACCACCTAGACGCCATTAGGAGGCCCTCAAAGAAAAGAAAATACAACAAAAATAAAATCTCACATAATCCTCATAAACCCTAGAACAATTCTTAAATAAGTTCCCTTGCCTTAATTCTCTCCCCTATTGTGAATTTAAAACCCCTACGTAATCCACTCCATAATCCTTCTCCTCATATATAGAATGCGTGTTTGACGGGCTCCACAAGGAAGGCCGAATTCCCTGTTGTTCTCACCCCCATTCTCCTGGTTCTGCTAGTCCGGCTTTTGTTGGACCAGCATACTGAGCCAGCTACCACCCCTCCAATATCAGCATCATTTATCTCTCAATATGATCGTAGATGTAGCTGAACCTACCATAACCATGTAAACTCTCATGACCTTTTTTGGAATTCTCCTTGCAAAATATTTTTTCTCATTCTCGTAATTCGCATTTTCCTCAAGGCTCCCAATTTTCATCAACAATCTGAGAAAATTCCATTGTCCATTAAGGGGTTGTTTGGTTAGAGATCTTTAAAATACATATAATTTAGAAATACTAAATAAATGGAATATACAAATTCTACATATGCAAGAGTTGTGTGGTTGGATGTGAATCAAATGTGTTGAATTTTTTGTTTATTTGTTATGATGAACTTAATGCAAGCAAAAATTTGAAAAATAAAACTCAAATTTTTACAAGCAAAAGATAACTCTTCCTAGGATAAAAGAAAATATATGAAATTCCCAAAAACTAGACAAAATATGACAAACAACAAACTTTCCAATAAAACATGACACTTACAACAAATGACGCTTACAAGCTTTTAAATAAAAGCTCATAAAGTTACATTTCTTAAATGAGAAGAAAGGTATTGATGGGGTGGATACTTGCAGGAAGAAGAATGAGATTAGAAGGTGAGACGAAGAGCAAAGAAGCTTGCAAGCCTTCCCAAGAAGTAGAAGACGAAGAAGTGGAATAAGCTCTCAAGTTTTTCCAAAAACCCTCAGGTTTTCATGTCCAAAAATCACATTCTATCAACCTCTTTTGAATACAAAATACTTAATATTTATAAGAGAAAAAGGAGAAGCCAAACAGTCATTTTATCTTCATTAAATCACATTAAATCAATTCCAAAATCTGTCCAGAAATCAATCCAGATTTAATCCCAAAACAACACTTGAAAAGCCACCAAAAGGGGCAGCATTCACTCCAAAAACAGCAACCAAACAGCCTTGCAATTATTCCAAAACAGCTCCAAAAAAGACAGCATAGGAACCGGGTAAAAAAGCCAGGGAAGCAGCAAAAAAGGCAGCACAGGAACTGGATAGAGGAGCCACGGGAAAGCAGCCAGGGAGCAAACCGAAAAGGCAGCACAAGAACCGGACTAGCAGCCAGGGAACCGAAGGGGCACAAAGGGAACCAAAACCAGCAAAAAAAAGGGGGAGGAATCAGAGCATTTAAGAGCTTAATTTTAGTAGAGATAAAGAAACTCAAAAAAATTACAACCCAACTTGTTTAGACCCCCCCTTTTCCTATATCAATTCTTCTCCGGTTGAAAATGCTCATCTCCCGATGAGTTGTCTTCAAAATTTTGGAGATTCGGCATTTCAGATTCTTGAATCAAAATGTCATACCTTCGTTTGATGATTTCCTTTTCTCGTTCAAATTCGTTCAGGAGTTGAAGTTTCTTCGCTTCAAATATTTTGGCACTTGAGTGTAGCTGCTCTTGAATCTTGATAAGCTCGATCTGTATCGGGTCTGAAGAAATTTCAAGTGGTGAGATCCATTGGCTTTGAGAATAGATTCTTTAAGTTCATTTGACTTATTTTCTTGCTTGCTTTCCACTTGATGTTTATCCATATTGACTTAAAATAAAGGAAGACCCAATAAAAACTTAGATTCACTTAACACCACAGACTCACACGACAACTTGTTCTAATACCAAATTGATGCAAGCAAAAGTTAGGACAACCCCTAATTTTTGCAAGCAAAAATAAAACACTTCCTAGGTCACAAAAAGAAAAGACAAACCAACAAAAACTAAGTCTCCCCCACAAGTTGGAGACTACAAACATACACTTTAAATAGAAAGACACAAACACAATATTATATTTCTAAAAACAAAACATAATATCTTTTGATAATTTAAGAAGAAAGATACATATGGAGTGGCACTTGCAGAGAGAAGAAGATAAGAAGCCGAGACGAAAGTGTATGTTTAAATGCATTGAACAATAGAAAATGGTGATGAGTTGTGGCTGGGGAGTGGTGGCCACAAACTATGAGTTTTCTTTGTATTAAAAATTCACCTGATTGGTGTGAATTCTAAATTCAAAAAAAGGCGATCTAAGGTATTCCAAATAATCTATAAAAATGTTTTGTATTTATTATACTCCAAATCAAACATTAAAACATAAAAAATAAAAAATCCTGCATTCGTTTTACCTTACACTCATAATTCTAGCAACCAAATAGGCCTTGATAGATTGTCCAAGCCCTTTAAACACTCAATAGTCAATAGATACCTTGAATCACTGATCCTAAAGTAGTAGATTGCATTGCAAATAAAACATTTTGCATGGAAGTAAATTGTCAGGTGAGTAGATCCCTCAAACAATAATTACTTTTAAAGGCCCAATTTTAGATTATCTAGAACAAATAAATCCTTGTTTCTTGCATAATTGATGAAAAGTGAAAATAACTATCAAGGAGTTGATACGCTGGGGGGCCCACAGCCAAGAATGAGGAGCTGTTTAGGAAGGTTCCTAATCAAAAGGCAGTTGCAAAGGAAAGTTCCGTATTAAGGGAAATTATTTAGGAAAGTTTTTGATCATGGGGGAGTTGTTTAGGAAAATTTTCTAATTGTGTTTTTGCTATTTACGAAGTGTTTAACTGTTTAGGAAGGTGCCTAAAATATGTTCAATTGTTTATGAAGGTATCCTAAATCATGTTTAATAATTTAGGAATGTTCCCTAAATTATATTTAGGTTGATTAGGAAGGTTCTATTTATTTAGAAAGGTTTCCTAAGTTATGTTTATGTTGATTAAGGAAGATTATAATTGTGTTGTTGTGTCCTAGGGTTATTTAAGAGGGGAGTTTGTCTATGGTTTAGGATATGATATTGCTGAGTTTATTTTCCTGATGTTTGTTGAGAGTTCATAATGGTATCTAGGGCTTGTGAGAGAGCTGATCTACCTCTTGAATAGTACATCAATTGTATCTTACTTTATTATTGAAGAAGAAATAAGAAAATAAGCCCAATCTTAGTGTTCCTACGTTATTCTTCTCTTTTATTTGTTGTTTTTACATCCAAGGCACATAAGAAGTCCTACAAATATCAGCAAAACCAGTTGAGATATCCAAGGTGATTGTTCTTTAAAGCCATAAACTAAAAAAGACACATGGCATGATAATCCTTAACATCCTAGGGCAAGTTAAGTATACACCAATGCATTTTTTGGCAAAGCTTTGCAAGCAAAAAGGTAATATATGAGCTCCAACCAAATTTTACATGGCTTGTGAAAGTGCTTTGCGATTTTTTGCAATATCAAAGAAAAACCATTTTCTTACAGAATTCATCATCTTATATTGTTAAACTATGCTTCCAAACCTTCTTTTACCATCAACAATGTACTTTCGTTGTTTGAAACTCACTACCAATCATCACCCACAAGTCACTCAAAAGTTGCACTTCATCTTTACCATGATTTGGGGAACATGACAAGGACATAAATTATAAGTCAATCAAGCTATTATTTAAAATTATGATATTGGTACATTCTCAATTCCCATGAATCACGTATCCAAGCATTTACATTTTTGGGGTTGTTTGACATACTATTTTACACAAAATTTAGCTAAAATTCTGCTAAATAGAACATTTGGAGTTGCAAATACCATTACAGCCCACCCCATCATTGGTTAAATGCATGATTTACTAAATCACACCCTACACAGGATTAAACAAATATAAGGGTGTCTTCCTCTCATAAATCTTAAATACTGAATCCAGTAAAAAAAAATTTATTAGGATTTAGCAAAATTTTAACGCCAAACAGTTTTCAGGCTTTAATCCTCTCAAGATTTATTAAATATGGATTCATAAGGTTTATTAAATCCTACTTGTATTCAAACTGCACCTTTAAGAAGCCAACTCCAGAAGCTTGTCCGATTTGCTCCAACATTCTATAACCTACCAGGAAAATGCCTGCTAAGAGCATGACGATAACTCCTAATTTCCCTCGGAAGAACAAATACAGCCCCAGTAACATTTTCACTGCAAATTCGATTCTCACCCAGTAACCCTAAATCTTCTCCTACCGAATAATCCTAGCATGCAGATCTAGTCTTCCCAACATCAAAAAAAGAAACACTTTACTAAAAAAACTATTCATTTTTCATCATAAGCCCACAAGTGCGCAAATTAGGCCTCAAAACAAAACAAAGAAAATCATTAACAAATTCGGGGAAAAATCGATTAAGCTAAGGAAGAATTAATTATGGAGAGAAGCTCATTACTTGTCGTCCAGCTTCTTGATCTCCTCTTCGATCCTCTTACGCATGGAATCGAGTAAAGTTTCGTCCATCTCGAGCTCGGAAGCAACGGCGAGCGAATCGTATAGAGACGCCATGTCGTCGGCCTTGACGACAGCGTAGATTTCATCGCGCAGCCGGACCTTGTCGATGTCCTCTACGTCGGGATGCGTGAGGAGGAAAAGCTTGTGCGCGAGCACAAGCTGCGGCTGCTGGCTGCCTTCTTCTCCCTCCATTCTAGTCTCTCAGTCGATTTCCTTGAAATTGCTAAGTAGCCATAGGGTTTGCAATTTACACTATAAGAAGACTTTGTCCCTAAGATTTCATACGTTTATTGTTAAAAAAAAAAATCTTAGGGTTAAAATAGCTAAAAAATTTTGGGTTTATGATCAGCTTCTTAGACTCTTTAAAAAATCTTGCAAATAAAAATACTAACTTTTTAATGAGAAATTATTAGATGTATAATCCTGCGTCGAAACCTCAATCGAAAATGTACACAATATGTATAGTATATAAGAGAAATTTTTACGTGCGGAGTCTGGACTTAACGTTAATAAAAATGTTAATTGTATTTTTGTACACATAGTGTGTCTAAGTTAATACATAATATGTATAAATTATGTACACAATATATACACAGTATGTGCAAAGTTTGTATACACCGTACATAATGTCTAATTTATATAAAGTGCGTACAATTTTATACACACTGTGTACAAGGACACATCATTTTTTTATTACAGTCCAGACGTAACTCTGCGTCTGAACTCCGCACGTAATAATTTCTCATTATACACATACTCATACACTGTGTATAAGATTATATAAAATTGTGTACATACGACATAGCCCATTTTGATTGGAGTCCGAACACACACTCATACACGTAATAATTTCTCAACTTTAATTTATTTACAATTTTATTGGCAAAATTTTTAATAATATTTTAAAAATATAATAACATAGTTATATTAAACATTCTTTAAATGATTACACTACTCTAAATTCTTTTTATAATTTAAAGACTCGTATTTTCAATTTTTTTATGAAGCATATTGTTCCTCATCTCATTCAATTTTTCAAAAGAAATGTTGGAAGGAATCCTCAAAATTGTATTCATGTATTTTATTTGAAGCATTTCTTCTCTCTTGATAATTATCTATTTAAATTCTTTCTTTGATCGAACAAATTCAAGGCATTAGTAATTTTCCAAAAGAACAGTAGCAAATATTCATAATAGATTTGTTTGATTCTAAATAAGTATGCTAATCCTTTTTTAAACTGTTAACCAAATTGTTTAGAATGTAAAGATGATCTTACTAAATTAGGAGTTCATGGATTATGATATGACAAATATACAAAGAAATTATAATAATAAATTAAAATTTTGTTAGATATGACTTTCTTATAGCTTTTTAAAATAATTTTTTAGTACAAAAATTTATACTATAAAACTGCTTTAAGTAGCTGTAATAAAGCTTTATTACTTCTTTCTAAAAGTAACTTTTTAATAAAAAAAAATTTTGTACTAGTATATTATTTTAAAATAAAATAAGAAAATTATCCCAAATAAAAATTAAGATGCTCCTAATATGAATGAGATTGAAGAGGAAAAATAAATCACATATTCAAAGAATACACAAAAATTTCTAATTGTCCAATTGAATCAAAGTGCATCCATTATGATGAAATCGGTGCTAAATGCACTTGGGCTTCATTTGGAGCAGCTTTCTTTCTGCTTCTTAAAGCAATTTTCTAGTACAAAAATTTTTAATTTTATACTAAAAAATTGCTTTAATAAACAAAAAAAAAACCGTTCCAAACAAAGCCTTATTCTAGTAAAGCTTGCCAAACTGGTTAATTGTCCCAGCACGAACACAGTTCATGGTAAGAAAATGTAGAACATTGAATACAGGTTGATTTGATAAACCCAAAGCAGATCAATGTGGCCATCTGGGCCATTACAACCATCACATGTTGCCATTCTGAATGTCGCTTCCAGGTACGTGAAACCATGCAAGACCAGGTTGCTTGCATTGGGTTGAATGGGAATTTGAAGCTATTGAGCCTAAAGAAATTCGCCACAGATCAAGTATTATTGTGACAAGCATGGCAGCGCCTAATGCATCCACAGCCACTCTTTGTAGATCCCATCCATCATCTTCTTTATCAGCAACTCTGGATGCCACAAAAACAAAGCATCGTTGTTAGGATTTTGATGGAGACGAACAAGAACTGAGGAGCTATGTATCACGAGAAAAAATTATTCTAGGAATATCATAATGCGAAACGCATCAAGCCCTTGAATTTGCATTGAGATTAGTACAATTCATAATATTATGTAAGCACTAATCTCAATGTAAATTAAAGAATTTTGAAACCCATCCTAATGGGTTTTACATCAAAATACTCTATAACACAAATTTTTTTAGTATACTATTGCACTGACTCTATCTACAAATAGCCAAACAGAACCTCTTATGCACGAAATATTAGTTCTCAATTACTTCATCTCAAGCATTAATTATTATGTGCGGACACCGAACGCCGTCCGGAGACCAACCAGAATGCGCCACGTCACCCCGCAGCTCGGTACCGCTGACGTGGCACATTCTAGTTGGTCTTTGGACGGCGTTCTACGTCCAATCTGCGCACAAAATAATTTCACCATCTTAAGATATTGATCAGTTCTCCTCAGTCTCCAAACGATTGTATGTATGAATACAGAACACGCATCATCTCATTGAGAACGTGAATTATCTGTTCCAGCAGGTTTCTTGATGAATCCACTCTGTGAATTTAAAGGTGTATTACTTTGGGTTACCTTAGTTTGGTTTGCCTGGATTAAAAAAAAATGTGAATGCAAGATTCAGTTTCTTGATGAATGCACTCTTCACAAGCTCCGAACTCTGATATCAACTGATGTGGAGATCGTCGGAAGAATCGGACCTGCAAGAAGAGATTTCCCAATCCATGGAGCAAAGGCACACAACAAGCTTCTAAAGCTTGAAAGAGAATATATTTTCATCAATGAATCTCTCCTTGTAATATCTTACTTATATAAGCTAATAAGAAGATTCTAGAAATATTATAACAAACTATAGTAAGCTAGTCCTAAGGAACACTTGAGCTATGATGTTCCACATTCAAGGCGGGGGCAAGGATGTAGTTAAATCGACAGAATAGTTGCAATCAAAGTTATGGAAGGCAATGCGAGTGCAGAGATATAATTAAGTCGACAAAATAGTATCAATCTAAGTTATGGGAAGTAAACTAACATAGATGTGGCCAATGGCGGAAAAGATAGAGATAGTTGAACTAGGACTTATCCTTGAAGACATGGAAGACAAGGTTGAGGCCGGTGAGAACATGGAGGCAGTATAAGGTTGGGATACTGTCGAGGCTTGGATTGTCCAAAAGTGATTGGAATCATGTCTAAGACTTCATTTTGGACGACTTTCTTATTATTTTTTAAAGTAGTTTTTATTAGAGCACAAAGAAACCGCTGTTACATAAACAATATATAGCCTTATATATCACCTCTTATGTAGCATATCTTTCTATAAATAGTGTTCTCTGTACATGATTTAAGATATAATAGAATATAATAAAATTCCCTTTTCTTCCTCCTAACTCTGCTTGCTGTCCGATGAATACGAAACTCATTTCTTGAGTTTCTACATGGTATCAGACGGGGCTTGAAGACCCTGGCGACCAATGGCGTCCTCCACCACATCTCCTTCTCCGACCGACAGCCACCAGCGTGACTCCAGCTTGGCTCCTCTGGTTCTTTCTTCCTCTCTCAAATTTATTCTTTCTAACCTCAAGAACATCGTTCAACACCCCCTTTCCCCCGAAAACTATCCCCTGTGGAGATCTCAAATTCTCAAGATTTGTAGAGCAAATAACTTTGATTCGTATCTTGATTCGGCTCACCCTATTCTGGAAAAACTCTTACTCTCTTCCGATGGATCTTCGCAACCCAACCCCGATTATATGCAATGGCTTCTCAACGATCAAAATTTGGCGGCAGCAATTTGCTCCACCATTTCTGCCTCCATCCTTCCATATGTTCTTGATCTGGAGTCCACCTTTGCTATTTGGATGACTCTTCAAACAAGATTTCAATCCACCAATAGATCCCAGGTCATTCAGCTTAAAAATGAGCTGTACCATACGTCTCTTCAAAATTCGACCATGATTCAGTATCTTAATACAATCAAATCTTTGGTTGATCGCATAGCGGCAGCCGGCTCCAAGATTGAGTGCGAAGATATCATTCATCATATCCTTAATGGTCTTCCTCCGGCGTACCAGTCGTTCAAAACGACCATTCGCACCATGACTCAATCCTTATCTCTTAACCAACTTTACTCGCTCTTGATCAGTGAAGAGATCCACATTGCTGCAGACACGGCTCGGTTTGCTACTCAGCCTCAACAGGACACTGCCTTATTCTCTTCCAGAGGCCACGGTCGTCGTGGCAAATCTCGATCTGTCGGTTCAAGAACTGCCTCCTCTCCAGCGCTTCCGGCTTGTCAAATTTGCCTCAAACGTGGCCATACTGCCTCGGATTGTTGGCATCGATTCAACGCTCAATACGTGCCATCGCCTGCACCTCAAAACAACAAGGCTCTTGCTGCTGATTCAAAATCTCCATTCAACGAATGGTATCTCGACTCGGACGCTTCCTCTCAAATGACCAAGTCGCTCGAGAATCTCTCTGTATCCAGCCCATATCAAGGTTCTGATGCCATTATTATTGGTGATGGGAGCTCTGTTAGTATAGCTCACTCCGGCAAGGGCTTACTACCAACTCCCTCTCGTAAGCTAACTCTATCTCACATTCTTCACACTCCGCAATTGCATTACAATTTAATCTCAATTTCTCAGCTTACTCGTGATAACAATATTTCTATAATATTTGATCCAAACAGGTTTATTTTGAAGGACTTGAAGACTGACCGAATCTTGCTCAAAGGGCCTTGCAAGAATGGTCTTTACCCCATTCACTCGCCGGCTGCTACATCTTCTCACAAGGCGCTTCACACTGTTACGAAAAAGGATACGCTCTGAAATGATCGTTTGGGCCATCCAAACAAAAATATTATAGCTCGTATAGCCGATTGTAATCCACATTTAAAAATTCATAAATCACATTTAGTTTGTCATTCTTTTCATATGAATAAAGCGCATAAACTACCTTTTGAAATATCTACTAGTCGTGAACGTACTGCTTTGGCTTTGATCCACTCGGACGTATGGGGTCCGGCTCCTGTATCTTCTTTTACAGGTTGTATATATTACGTTATTTTCGTCGATGATTATACTCTCTATACTTGGCTCTATCCGCTAACACATAAAAATCAAGTTCTCCAAGTATTTTCAATTTTTAAAACTTCTGTCAAACATGAATTTTCTGCCAAGATTAAAGTTCTTCAATCAGACGGTGGTGGCGAATATATAAATACGCAGTTTGCTCAATTACTTCAACGAAACGGTATCAAACATCGCATATCCTGTCCTTATACACCGGAGCAAAACGGTGTATCGGAATGCAAGCACAGGCATATTATTGAAATGGCTAGAACCTTGCTACACACCGCCTCCCTACCCCTTGCTTTCTGGCCCGATGCTATGCTTACCTCCGTTTACTTAATTAACAAATTACCTAACTCTGCCATTAACCATCTCTCTATGCATGCCATGCTCTATGGAGCTTCGCCTGATTACCAACCACTTCGCATATTTGGCTGCGCCTGTTTTCCCTTAACCCCATCGTCTCAACGTCACAAACTTTTACCCAAAGCTCAGCTATGCGTCTTCCTCGGCTACTCTGACACATACAAGGGCTACAAATGTCTTCATCTTGGTACCAACAAGATTTCTTTTTCTAGACATGTAACGTTTGACGAAACCTATTTTCCCTTTGCAGATGTCCAATCTCAACCAAAGGCTTCGCCTGATCCAATTTCACCACTATTTCTCACTCCGGTCTCGGTTATTCAACGAACTCCTACATCTGCTGCAACTGTGACATTACAACCTCCCTCCTCAACACAGCCAACGATCACTAACGTTATCTCTCCACATCCAGCATTCACTAGTCCTTCATCACATCCAACATCTCCGCCTGCTCTTCTGCCAACGCATCCTATGGTAACACGAGGTAAATCGGGTCACTTGAAGCCTATAACTCGTCTAAATCTTCTACACTCTATTCCAGCTGTAGAAAATCAGCCAGCTCCATCCTCTTACACGGAAGCTAGCAAGTCCTCTGAATGGCATCGTGCTATGGCTGACGAATTCTTCGCCCTACAAACTCAAGGAACATGGAGCTTAGTTCCTTTGCCTCCGAATACCTCTGTTCTAAGCTGCCGCTGGACCTACCGGCTTAAACATCACTCTGATGGATCAATAGCCAAACACAAAGCAAGACTGGTGGCCCAAGGAAATCACCAGGAATATGGTTTAGACTACACTGAAACATTCAGTCCCGTGGCGAAGCTTCCAACAATTCGTATACTTCTTACAGTGGCATTACACAACGACTGGCCTGTTCATCAACTAGACGTCGCCAACGCTTTTCTTCACGGCTCGCTTGAAGAAACTGTGTACATGCGTCAACCACAAGGTTTCGTGGATGCCACACATCCTAATCACGTTTGTCTACTTCGAAAAGCTATTTATGGTCTTAAACAAGCGCCCAGGCAATGGTATAACACGCTAACTTCTTCTCTTGTTGAGCTCGGTTTTCATCACAGTAAATATGATCCTTCTCTCCTCATTTTTTCACAAATGCAATATTAAACTGTTCCTGATTATCTACGTCGATGATCTTCTGCTAACAGGGAATGACGCCTCTGCTATCGGCAATATCATTTTTCAACTGCAGCAAAAGTTCAACATGAAAATACTTGGCCAGGTGAATTCGTTCCTTGGTATACAGATCTCTCGCAAATCTGATCAATACTTTCTTTCTCAGACCGCTTATGCAAGATCAATTCTTCAAATTGCTCATCTCACTAATTGCAAACCTCTTTCCAATCCTACATGCACCAAACTTCCGCAAACTTTCCCGGCTGATCCTATTCTCGCTGATCCTGCCATGTACCGACGAATTACAGGATCCCTTCAATATTTGACACTAACACGACCTGACATATCCTTTAGTGTAA